TCAATAATTGAAACACTAGTGTGTTGTCAACACCATTTTCAGCACAAATCCAAAACATAGCACCATACAAGCTACTATGAAGATATTTAACTTTATCCCAGCCAAAACCAGTACAAGCTCATATGACCATAGGTCTGTTTGTCAGAAATGTTGTTTCAACATTAGTTTTGTAGGAAGAAAAATTATTGCAATGCAAGTAAGAATAGAAGGAAACAGACTTCATAATGAAGTGCATGTATTGATATGTTGTCATATATAATTTTCTTAACTTTCTTCAATGCAGTCTTTTCCATTGTTACTGAATTTTTAGAAATAGAGAAGCAACTATTCTTGTAGTTAAAGAGAGCTATTTTCATGAAGAGGAAAACCATCAAGTCTAGCTCTAATGATATCTATGCATTTTTAACTACTCAAAGAATAGCTCAAAGTATTATTCCCAGAGGGATTATATAGCTCAGGAATGACAGCAAGTTCTGAATTGTGCCCCTTTGAGGCAGTCCTCATTGTATTGGGTCTATGGTCCATAATTTGAAAATAGAAATGCATTAATGGAGCTTTTTCTATCTGCAAATTCTTACCATGTTAATTAAGTATTCTTTAACACTTAATGCATCTCTTTAATTGTGTTAGATGACTAACGGATTCAAATTTGTACTTAGTTTAGTTAATGTTTTTTTAATGTTCTAGAACCTACCAAATAGATGACTGTACACAGCTCCAACACTCCTGGTATATAAAGTGGATTTTTTGACTTAGTGATATCTAGGTGATTTAAGACACTGCAACTTTTTATTCCCTCCTGGCACCCCTTCAGCTAATGTTGCCAGGCATTTTCTGATAATTGTTTTCTTCCAAATGGTTGTCCATGTTGAGTCCTACTTCTTACACATACAAAAGGTTGTTTTAGCCAGCAATGTTTATTAGAGTCATACCAATGTTCTGTTGAATTGTACTTCTACCCAAGGAGGTAAAAAAGTCTGCCAAAGTTCAGCAGTACTTTTAAACTATATTAATGGTTATTTTTTCTTTTTCTTATTCTTTTTTTTATTATTTGTAATTTCTAAACATGAATGGCTGCAACAGTCTTTCATTCACCCCCCTGCAGTTCTGATGGCTACCAGCTGAGTGTCTGTGTGGCACCATTAGTATGTCGCTCTATTTTCGCAGACCAGCATTAATTACACCTTTTGAGCTAGCTGTCCTTCCACTAAGAGGCAGTATTGGCCTATATTTCCTAAGTCACAGATCCTACAGAAATTAGAAGCAACATGAGAACCTGGGGTAGCAATTGATCCTACCTTCAATTCCATCCAGCTCCTAGGGGTAGACAGTGACTAATACTTGTCACATTGATTAATACAGAGAGTTCCACCAACAATGAAACATTTGGCCAGGAGATGGATTAAAAGGGTTTGCTTCTGCACATGGCGATAGTCACACTGCTCCTTTCACACTTGCTAGAGACATAATTTTTACCAAATTGTTACAGCTGCACAAATGTTGGCTATACTCAGAAGATACATGTGCCAGGCTTCATGGTAATGGTTGAAATCTAGAGAAATGATGACTTGTAAACTAGGAAAAATGTATGCCTTGGATCCTAGGGTATTAACAGCTGTACATGTCAAAATCAAATGCCCAGGTGTGAAAACTTACTGCTAACTGTGTTTTTAGAGAATTACAGGAATATTCTGGTCACTTCAGGGATGACTTGAACGACAAAAAGAATTGGAAATTTTTTTTTCTGGTATTACAATACCATAATAAAGCACTTTTCCCACTTTGCTTAATAGTTTTTTTTTTTTAAGTTTTTTTCCCTATGAAGCAGAATGATAGGGACTGTAGCAGAAACTACAGAAACTACTATTGCCCTCTAGCTGTTAGTTAGCATCAAGACTGATAGATTTGACTAGTCTTCGGTCTGCTAGGTATAAAAGAGGTATAACCTGGCTGTTTTTCATGACATTGTGTTGTGCAGAACAGAGAAGTGATCCAGGGATCTGTCTGGTGCAAGTACCAGAACAATCTGATCATGTGGTAGGACTGTCATTGATGCAGAATCTCTCCCCTCACTCAGCTGAAGATTCTCTTTAGCAATGAGATATGTGGAAAGGTGCATTTCACCTCTTGTTGGAAAAAATGAAAGATCATCTGGCCTGAGTTTAGGCTGACTGGTCGGTACAAAGTCACTGATACAGTTCAGTAATGTACACATGAAATTAAGTGGTCTCCTGACAATGGAAATGCCTGAAGTCCACACTGTCTGTTAGAAAATGTGCATGTGTATGAAGCTGTCTGTCAGCATTTGGACTGTGGGAATGACTGTTTTCAACAGCAGGCAGATGGCTCTGATCCCTTGCAGAGATCACATGCCCTGAGCTCTCAGACGTTCTTACATGAGCTCTCCATCTTTGAATAGAAGCATCTGTCATCACAGATTTGTTTGGCCAAGATAAGATGGGTTTGCTGTTGCAGTTCTGAAGCAGGTCTTTCTACCAGTTTGAGGAAAAGACTTACTTTGAGAATGACTTCTCTGCATCTGAGGTGTCTGCTTGGTGGAATTCTTGCTTAGAACATAGATAAAGTCTGTCAAAGAACATCAAATAAGAAGGCACCTTCCTACTTAAGATGGTTCAGAAAGCTCAGTGTAGTCTGGAATGATTCTTGTGCAAGCAGACTGTCTTTGGACTAAACACTTTACATTGAAATAAAGGGAAAGTGGTGGTGGGGGGGTTATTTCTTTGTTTGATTGGTTGGTTTTGAGGCTTTAGTGGTTTGGTCCAGCAAGGGCAGATTAGCTGGTAAGAAGGTAATACCTTTCCATGTCATAGCAAGATGCTGTTGAAAGGCACTTGGGAGCTCTTAGGCTAAACAAAAGACAATCTGAAAGTTTTTTAAGAAATGGAAAATGAGATTGGTTTCAAGTGTTCAGAAATCAGTGCCATAGAAAGGTAAATCCTTTTTTACCTGTTTCAAGATCTTCTTAATGACTATGGCTAGAGGAGGAATTGCACGTTGTTACATAGGTAGCTGTTGATATAGTGGTGCAAGATAAAACAAAAGCTATTCTGGGATGTCAATATAGTACTAACTGGCACAGTGTTCCTCTAAGTATTGTAATTGTGTCCCTTGTCCTTAAATACTCCCTTTTTACTAGCAGAACCTCCATTTACTGATAAGGGAAAGTCAGATCTTCGTTTTTCTGACATGGTGCTTCATAAAGATAATTCTTAGGCCTCACCAGATTATCAACTCCAGTTTTGAAAATTCATTTGAAACCTCTTTTTTAAGACTGATCATGTGAAAATTACGTTTATCTTACTGGGACATTTTATCTGTAAACCACTTCAGTCTCCTGAGTTTCCCATGTTTCCATGGAGTCCCGTAGTTCTAGAAATCTGGGCCACGGAAGGAGCTGAGAGATTTTAGCTTTTACAGCACTGAAGAAAGGTATTGAAGGTAAGAAGCTTTGCCCTACGTTGCTTGACCATATTAAAAAAAATCTACTGTTGTTTTCTTTATTAACTTGTGTGTTGTAGCAAGGATTTCAAATTGGGACAAGAAAATACAAGACAAAAGGAGATCCAGGGAGACATTACTGCAACCTTTCAATACTTACAAGGGGCTTATAATAGATAAGAGATAAATTTTTTACCAGGGCCTGTAGCAACAGCTTAAGGACAATGGTTTTAGAGTAGATTTAGACTGGACCTAAGGAAGAAGTTTTTTCGTGAGGGTGGTGAGATGCTGGAACAGGTTGCCCAGAAAAGTTGTGGATGCCCCATCCCTGGAAGTGTTCAAGGTCAGGTTGGATGGCATTTTGGGAACCTGATCTAATGAAAGACATACCTGCCAATGGCAGGAGTGTTGAACTACATGATCTTTAAAGTCCCTTTCCAGTCAAAACCATTCCCTGGTTCTAATTTTTGCACAGGTACAGTGCCCCATCAAGGATTATTGTTATCCACATACCGGGCTGAACGGAAGTCTACTGTCAGCCTTCAGTCTATATGTTTTGTTTTTCCTTAAATGCACTTGACTTTACAACTTTAATAACAATCTTTCAGCGTAGGGATTTCTATCTGCATGTGTTGAAGTATGTTTGCAAAGCTGTAAACTACTTTTCATATCTTTCCTCATTCCTGCAATACTTCCGTATCTTTCAGTACTTCAGTAATCAAAATAACACTGTTTCCTAAGGAACCATGTGTATTAAGGAATGTTTGAAAGGTCTTTGGATATCTGAGTTACACATATTGTATACAAGGAGTCAGGGAAAATTTCAGAAGAGGTCTTACACTTGGATTGGAGACTGGTGGAGTTTTGAGACAAAACCAAGACAACCTGTTTTACTTTCTCACAGCAGTGATTATGAGATGTCTTTACGTCATATTTTCATAGAATAATTATAACAATGTAAGACATCTTGATTATGAGACACGTTTCACCAATACAGAGCTGACAGATGTAGCTCCATCACTTTCTGTACTAATTTTCTATGTAGCATAGAAACAGGCTACAGAGGAATTAGAAAAGGAGAAAGAAGTGGTGTTAAAGACTTGCTTTCTACTCGTTCTCTGTAGTGCTGAAGTCTGGAGATGTTACATCAGCAACATAAGTTAAAGCTGGCCCACAAATAGATTGTGTTGCATTCAGGCTTCATTGATTATCTGTGGGAGAATTTTGCACCATGCTGCTCCAATTCTATTTGTGTGCAGTGCAGACTAGTCCATAAATTTTGAGTCAGAGGATCATTAGACAAACTAATTCCCTGTGTGTAGCATAAATGATAAAATTTCACCCAGAGGTTTCTGCATCAAACTGTTGTAAGCTCTGAACTGAAACCATTTCTTTTGATAGACTTCTGGGGTTCTTTGGCTCCTGCATTATGCTCATACATCAGCTTTCTGCTGATAGCACAGAGATTGATCCCATACCTGGTGAGTGTGAATAGTGGGAAATTCTTACTTCCAACTAATAACTGATTTTTTTCCTCCCAGGTGTCTCTACTTTCCAAAGGGAACAAAGAACTATCCAGCAAAAGAAGAGAATATGTGATTCTGAACAAAGGGTTTGGAATTGTTCCTAATGAAGTCAACCTGCCTGTACTTCAGCTGAGGCTGATTACTAAAGGGTCAAGCTTTGCTCATTAAATAACATACAGATGGAATACCAATGTGGGGCAGCTTCGAGACATCACGGGGTATTTCAGGATGATACTCTTTAGCTTTGTTTACAGCATAAGCACTTTGCAAGGAACATTGGGAAAAATGCTTTCAGGTTTATAAATTAGGAGAAAAGCACAGTTCTCAACAGTAAATACCTTCTCTTTTTAGAATATGGTTTGCATAGTCAGGTTTTCTGGAACAACAGTTCAGAAACCTTATTTATGTCCATTTATGTCTTCTGTGGTAAGAAAAAGAGCTTTGTAACATGACCAGGCAGAAAATATATCTAGGTTCACTCTACCAGAATTAGAGACAGATTAAACACCATCAGTATGATTTTAATATTTAGAAGGAATTTCTAAATATTTAGGAATATTTAGGTAATTGCAAATTCTAATGCTGGTGTGACATGTTAATTGTCATTATTTGCAAATGACATAGCTTCTGAAATCATTATTATTTTAAAACCAGCTGGCTTTACTGCTGTTTCAAAATGTCTTCATATTATATGTCTGTCTTTAGCCACACGTTGTATACATCTGTGTACATAAAATGTGTCATGTACATTTGTATACATTTTATATACATGTATGTTTTACTGTTTAACAGACTTGAGTAAATTAAATACATGCTTTGCTACTAATCAAAATTGAAGTACTTAAGAGCACTTCCAGAATTTCAGTATTTATTCATTGTATTAAATGTAGATAAAAATGTCTCACTGCAGTAGCAGAGAAGCTGTGTTTTTGTCTACAGTTTAGTAAAGAATACTTATTAATAACAAAGGCTTCTCTCTACAGTTGCTACTGTGGCAATCATAACTATTGCAAATAACCAGGATGCACTTGGTGATACAGTTTTATTATCTCTGTTAAAAATTATTAGCCTTATAGTCATCACACGATTACTTATAAGTAATTTCATGCAGATGTATGTTGTGTACTTTTTTCTTTATTTTTCCCCCCAGTGGTTTGTTTGTAACTATAAACAGCTAATTGGCATTCATTTCCTAACAATTTAAGTGTATAATTTACTTATAATGTGTGACTTCAACATCCTGAATTGTGAAGCAGTGAAAAAGGGCCCAGTGGACAATGTGAAAAATAATAATAATAGTAATAGAATCTACCCTCTTTTCCCGTGTACATGGTGTTGAAAGTCTTCAGGAGCTGCCTTTGCATCCATACAATGGTAGAATACTGATAGCAGAGGTTTCTTAAGGGTTAAGACATATAATTTCTAAGGTATTACCACCAGGTAGCTACAGTTTGCACCATGAATCACCATAGAAGATGCGTTTCCTCCAATGTTGCCTCTAAAAATCAATTCCTATTTTAGTTCAGCGTGTTAGTTTTGCTTTACTAGAATGTAGAAGGGGAATGCAGTATGGTTAAATCCGATGGATTATAAAGTAAATCCACGCTGTATATGACTGCCAATAGAATTGATTACATGGATATTTTATCCAAAAATTCTTCATTTAAATTCAACCTTGATATGTTCTACTCAAACTGTGTATGAATTCTCATAATTTTCCACTAAAATAGCATATAACCAATCTACACTGAAAGTAAACTTTTAATATATTTTTTTCAGAAATGTCTTATAATTCTAAATTGTCAGAGCGCATTGAATGCCTTAGAAATAATTTGGACTTTATTTCAAACATGTTTCATTGTTTTTATTTTGTCTGGCTTTGTATGATGTTAATTCATAGTTGATGGCATTATTTTTGTTGAGAAATAGAGTATAATTAATTACTCTTATTGTGTTTTTCTTAATGTATTTTTAGTGCTGTTAACTTTGAAGGAATTTTTGTACTTGTTTTTGTGACTGTGAGGAGTGGAATAAGCTCTGGTGGCCAGCTGAGGAGCAGACAAGTGGTGGATTGGTGGCATGTGCAGCTGCGACCACCAAGGGTTTGATTTAAAGCAGGGAATCAGTGGTCTTTTCTGTTCCTTTCCCAATCAGTGTTCACTAGGAATTTTTTCCCTTCCTGCTTGCAACAGTACTGACACGCTGACTTGAAAGAAAGAGTTGGTGCCTTTTACATCTAGGACAATCAGTTGCTGCAGAAGATTCATTATCTAATCTGTTAAGTAATTTATGGTATTAGTGTGTAGATGCTCTCCAATGAGATCAGTGTCCATCGTATTTCTGGCAGGTATAATTTCTGTATGGCTAAATTTTGTACAGAAAATATAGATAAAGCATCTTTAGAGAAACAGAGAAGCCAAAAATAAGTTGCTTAATATAATTCAGGAAATCATCAGCAAACTTGAGAATGGAACCTACATCTCCTGAGTTCCAGTCCAGTGCATAACTAGTATCCTTCAAGGTGTGGAGCTCTTTTTCTCATGTGTACATCTTTAGTAAAGTTACATCTTTAGTGTAACTTGTGCAAAAATCAGAGAAACAGGCATAGCTGTACTTAATTAGCTAGTTGAAAAAGATCCTGCAAAGTGTGTTACTAACCATGCTGAAACGTTGTACTGAACTACAGTTAATTTTTGGTTATTCATTAGTCTAAACTGTGATTTATGTAGGCCTTTCCTACAGTTTGTTGGCTGCAGTGAAGTATCTGAGATTGTGTAGTATTATGCCTTCTATTATTCATGCACTTACTTTCTACAGTCATCTGATTACAAGCACTTTGTCAGGAGAACATGCTGTGTGTATATGCTGTAGCCTGATTTACATATGTTGTGTTCTATCTGAATCATTTCACAGTCTCATTTCATATCCCTGAATAATCAAATATTGACATTGTATCAAATCATTAGTTTTATTCTATAAGTTAATTCTTGTTTACGGTCACAGAACAATGTATTTAAAGACTGTTTAACGTCCTTGTAACTTTTAGGATTGCTGCCTCGTAATTGGTATTTCGTATCAAAAAATTTGACAACCAGTTATGGAACTTATGGAATTATGTTAGTTAAAGAAGAAAGGCCAACAAATTTCCTTATTAAAAACAAGGAAACCTCTAGCAGTGACCTCCCTAAACTGAATAATATACACAATTTTAGCATGTATCAATTCTGCCCTGATTTTAGGAAGAACCAGCAATTCTGAATGAACTGCATTTCAGGAGATGTGAAAAGAGGAAGCCACTTGAGAATATCTGGTTTTGAATATATGAATTCACCATGCACTTGAATTAAAAAACTTCTCAACTGAAAGTTTCATCATTCAATTTGTCTAGACAGACAACAGCAATTGGAAACAAAGCTCTTCTAATTAATTCTGTTTCTTGACTTGCAGGAAGCTAAATCACATGAATACTCTGTGTTCAACTGTTCTCAACAGGAGATGCAGAGAATTGTAATAAGAAAACTAGTCATTTTACAATATTTGACATTTGAGTCTTCAAATTTCCTACCAAGCTAAAAACTTACATCTAGTAGGATTTTGCTTCCCTAGTTGAACTCATTGTCCACTGTGATATTTTGACTTATGTTTCTAATTTGTTTCTAACAATGCCAGTCAGGACATATTCCTTGACTTAAGCTGTAACTGGACTTACTCAGTTTTGCTCAAAATTTAGGTTTGCCATAGCTTCATTACTGTCTTTTGTCTGCCTTCATCTCCATTTGTGCAATGTAAGCAAATACAGATAGTGTTGGACCTTGCCTGAGCAATGGAATCTGTAGTCAACTACATTCCAAATCTTGTTTGTAGAGACTAAAGATGCACACATTTTCATGTATGTATACATGCAAATGTGTATATATGTATCTATATATAATATACATGTGATTTTAAAAATTAGTATAGTTGAAATCTTAGCAGTCTAATTCAAGAATCATTATTAGTCTAGATCTGTTGCAGGAAAAGAAAGAATATTAATGCAGTTAAATTGCTTTGCAAACATTTTCTAGCTTCTCCCCATTCTGGGGGTTTATGTTCACCCTTCCACTGCTTCTTTGTGTCCCAAGGCCAGTAGTTTGATTCTGGTGGGGTAGTTACCATGAGTTGCCATCAGCTGGAGTCCTGTGCCAGGAGGAATAGGATGTTCTTACTGATGGCTCATTCTTCCTCTAGGATCCACCACTTGGGATCATTTTTATACATTTGCTAACACATTTTCCCCCCTTTGCTATTTCTTTATTGGTCTGCAGCTCCGTGATATGTCTGTTTTATAATGTATAGTGCATTTTACATGTACTGACTGGATACTATCTCTTTGTTCTCTCAGCTACCTCTAAACCTAGTTTAGTCCAGGTCTGCATTTTGTTACTGTTTATGGCTGAGTTGTTTATAGCCGCCGATGCCAAGTGTGTGCCTCATCTCTTACCATGCCATTCCTAATTCCTCTATATCACATCCTGTGTCTTAAGACCCAGCTGTCTTAAGGCCCAGCTGTCTTAAGGCTCCTGCTATCAGACCAGGCCTGTATCTCTTCATACTATATCATTGTGCTAGTCTCATAAGTATCTCATCATACATTGAGTAAATGCTTTTTGCAGCTATCTATATAAAACTATGGTTGCTCAAAGATAAACAGCAATAAAACAAATTAGAGGTATTGAACTGGTCAGTTAGAGGAATCACAAACACAGCTATACCAATTGAAACAAAGATACATTCAGACAGCACAGCTGACAAGCCTCAGGACTGAGGCCTTGCGAATTCAGCACAAAGCTTATGGCCTGTTGTTGACAGTGGTACTGCTGTTTACAAGATTGCAGCTTCCAGAACTTTTAAAAATGCACTGACTCCTGTTCCTGTAGCCTGTGCGGTGCTCTTAATGCCCTGGCGTTAACACCGTGGCAATATTCCCATGTGTCTGAAAAGAAGGCATATCTTGTTGATGAAGTGTGGTCTCTGTGGTCTGACTGATATGTGATCAAGCAATATTCATTTAAAGAGGAATAATTTTTCCAAGCTTGCCAAAAGTAAATGATATAAAATAATAAAATAAAATTATATTCAATACCATCATCATGGCTGGGCTTCACGAATGAAGATTTGGGAAGGGCTCTACCCGCATTTTGTTACAAGCGTGCTGGTGGCTAAAAAGGCCAATACGAGATAGACACGTCCTGTTGCAAAAGGCACAGCAGAAAGACTCCTTAGG